CCTCCCAAAGTGCTGAGATTACAGGCGTGAGCCACGGCACCTGGAGCATGGCCAATTCTTTCCACGTAACTCCAATTGCAAAGTCCTTATAGCTAACTGGTCCTGGCCAAGGGTGTTTTAGCTGCCACTATATCTACTACATGCAACAGGTGAGAGACATTCAATATTTACCTATTGGTTGACTGGTTTGATTCTTGATAGTATACTGAATCACATCCTCGCAGCTTTTCATAGGAAAAATTTTCTGTACTCTTCAATGTGGTAGCCACCGGCCTTGTAAAACTATCGAGCATTTGAAATATGACTAGTGCGACTGAGGCACTAATTTTTTAATATTTAATTTTAATATTTTTAAATTTTAAAAATGATACTTGACGCAGTTATAGAAAGTTTTAAGTGTGCTTGGACTAACTTGGCTGTGTGAATCTACTTTTTCAGCTGTAAATCGTATGAAATCTAAATTCACATCAAGTTTTTTTTTTGAGATGGACTCTCGCTCGGTTGCCCAGGCTGGAGTGCAGTGGTATGATCTCTGCTCGCTGCTACCACTGCCTCCGTGGTGCAAGTAATTCTCCTGCCTCAGCCTCCCAAGTAGCTGGAATTACAGGAATGTGCCACCACGCTTGGCTAATTTTTGTATTTTTAATACAGATGAGGTTTTATGTTGGCCAGGCTGTTCTCCATCTCCTGATCTCAAGTAATCTGCCTACCTCCCAAAGTGCTGGGATTACAGCTGTGAGCCACCACACCTGGCAATATTTTTGATAAATATTTCACAACCAAATTGAGACATGCTACAAGTGTAAAGGACACAAAAATACATTGTATAAAAAAATTTTACATTTTAAAACATTGATTGATTATATGTTGAAATAATAATATTTTGGATATATTGGGTAAAATAATATATATTATTGAATTTAATTTCTCTTATTTATTTTCCTTTTTATTGATAGCACTAGTAAATTTTAAATTACACAAGTAGCTTGCATTACATTGATTTTAGGCAGTGCTTTTCTAGCGATCCCCAAATATAATGTTTCACTACAATTCCTAATAGAATCTTCTGCCTCAGGAAGCTAGGTAATAATGTCTATTTATATAAATAAAGAATATGTTCCTGAATATATAACTGATGGTCAGGAAAGGGAGGTACATTTGATAGAGAAGAGTGAGCATGAACTGTGGAGTCAACCTGTCTGGGTTTGTATCAAAGCTCTGTCCCTTAGTTACCTTTAATGAAGTACTTGACCTCTCTGAGTGTCAGATTTTCTCCTATGTAAATTGGGGATATGAATGCTGTAGAGCATGGGTAGCGCTCTGCCCTGATTCCCTGGGCCTCCTTTATCGTTTCTGTGCAGGAAGCCCCTCTGTCATTTGCTCGCCCAGCCCATATCTGTGGCCATCTTTGGGGAACTGCCCTTGGGCTGCTGGAGCTGCTTGGGGTCATAGCCAGTGAGTGACTGGTGCAGAAGTTTGAAAGCCTAATTCCCTAACCTCAAACAAGCACAAACTTCAATGTGTAATTTACACATTACCCTAGAATCCGCCAGCCCAGGCAGAGACTTTACCTGGAAAAGGGACTTTTATCCCCAACTTACACTTGTCTCTCCCGCGTCTAAGGGTCAGCTTCTGAAGAATCCAACTTGAGGCAGCCATCTACTGCCTACGTTTTTTGTTTTTTAGGGATTAAATGAGAAATGCCTGACACAGAGACTTTTTTTTTCCTTCCTTCCTTCCTTCCTTCCTTCCTTCCTTCCTTCCTTCCTTCCTTCCTTCCTTTCTTCTTTCTTTTTTTAAGTGGGTATTGCTCCATCACCCAGGCTTGAGTGCAGTGGTGTGATCTTGGCTCACTGCAGCCTCAACCTCCTGGGCTCAAGCAATCCTCCCACCTCAGCCTCCTTAGTAGCTGGGACCACAAACGTGCACCACCAGGCTCTGCTAATTTTTTTGTAGAGATGGGGGTCTTTTTATGTTGCCCAAGATGGTCTCAGACTCCTGGGTTCAAGTGATTCTCCCACCTAAGCCTCCCAATGTGTTGAGATTACAGGCGTGAACCACTGTGCCCAGCCACAGAGGCCATTCTTAACCCTCTTCAGTTGCTTATACCATCCAATACACTCCAGTTATTTTACTACCACACCGGGAAGATGTGACTTGTCAGATATTTTTTACAATCCTGGAATGTTTTTGTGTTGAGACATCCATAGTCTCTTTCTCATTAGCTCAGATGTAACAAACATGTAAGAACTCAGAGGTTCTTGAGACCTTAGAGAACATTGAATCTACTTATGAACAACCAGTGTTGCATACGTTTCTGCAATTTCTCTGTGAGTACAGTGTTAAACAGATGCTATGGGTAATTAAATCACTCTCAAGGTATAAATAAGACTACTTAAAAGGAACATTAACTATTTCAGAACCAAAATAGGAGATCCCTTCAGTTAAAAAATAACTTACTCAAATAAAATATAATATACATGTAATATGCTTTCTCACTATACAAATACATATAAATGTTGCAACTATAGCATTTTATATGTGAAAGACAATCTGCTTGTATTTTTGGTTCATTTTTTGACAAGTTTTTATAAATAGAATACTTATCATTTATGACATTTATTGCATGCCAGACATGATTCTAAGACATTCATAGACACTATCTCATTTAGTTTACTCAAAAACTCAGTTCAGATACGATCGCTTCAGAGAGTCCCTTCCTGAATTAATCACCTTCAGTTGCTCTGCCATGACCTTTATCACTACCTGTAATTTTTGTTTGTTTGGCTTATGTGTTTACTGTGACCCTCCCCACCAACTCTTTCCCCACCCCAATTAGACTGTGTGCTTCAGATAGCAAGTACTATTCTGCCTTGCATACTTCTGTATCCACAGTTGCTAGACTAGTGGCACATGCTAAGCATTCCATACATATTTATCGAATGACAGAATGAATTAAAAACTTAATGTAGATGAGAGCCCTGAAGCCCAGAGAGGCTAAAAAGTTAAGATCCCAGAACTGGTATGGTAAATGGCAAAACTCATATGTAAACTTTTGTCTTTTATCCAATAGGCGATATTGTCCTTTATTTTAAGTGGGTTATAGAAGGTTGACATATCTTGCCTGTAAGGAAATCACTCCCTAGTAAGGGAAGAAAGTCATTCCCTTCCAGTCAACAAGTACTTATTAACCCTTGCTAGGTATTTTATGAAGCACTAGGAACACAGGCGTAAACAATACAAACACAGCCGAGGCTGGCGTGGAGCTTTTTGTCTAGACTCTTGAGTAAAGAAGACAGACATTATAGGTAATAACAAGTGAGATAAGTATTTTGAAAAGGAATGTAGAAAGATAGAAAAGAATAGCAAGGTAATCTAACCAAGTGAAAGGGGTCAGAGAAGTCTTCTCTGTGGAAGGGAATGTAGCTTGTCCAAAAAAACTGAGAGAAATAAAATGTGAAGGTCATGTAGAGGTGAGAACAAAAATGGCAGGGGGTAAATAGAGAACAGCCTTGAAGATGATATCTGCAAATAATAATCACACATGATGAAGAGTGATGTGTCCTAACAGAGGTGGATTACAGTGCTACTGGAGTTAGGAGAATGGTAAGATTCTCATTATAGGGGAAGCTTGATGAAGTTATTATAATGACATATAATTACTTTGAGGGCTGAAAGAATATAGATACAATGAAATGGGAAGGAATCTCCAAACAGTTTCTTGTATCTTTGTTAATTTCACTTTTTGAGTAGGTAATACACTCCCATGTTTTTATATATGTATAATGCCTAAAACTGTACAATATTGCATTTCCACTACTGTTTCTCACCCATCCAATCTCCAAGCCCCACACTACCATAGGTAATCTCTTTTGTTAGTTTCTTTGTATCCTTTCAGAATTACTTTATGTAAATACAAACAATTTATAAATATAAATGCGAATCCCTAAACATTTTACCATACTATATAGCATATTGTATACACCATTCTATACTTAACAACATGTCTTGGAAGTCTTCCCATATCAGCACATAAATTACTTTCTCAATTTTTTTACAGCTGCTCAGTGTTCATATGGATGTATCATAATTAATTTAATCTTTTATTGATGAGCTCTTGGAGTGTTTTCAACTTTTGTCTATCAAATAGTTTTATAGACATGGCAGCTTACAATTGTACAAATATATATATAATTTTAAAAGCTATAGCCAGATTGTCCTCAATGGAGGTTATATGAAAATACCTCCAAATGGTTAGATTTAACTGCATAACTAAGGATGAAGCTAGAGAAGCAAATAAAGCAAATTTTTTAAAAAGCCACTCATGTACTTGATCATTTCTAACAAAACACTAGGTACAACTAGAAGTTAGAAATGGAAAATTGTATTATATGTTGGCTCAGGTATGGATCCAAATTTTGTGAGGCTTGAAGCTTATGCAATTGGAGGAGCCTTCTTTAAAAAAAAATAAGAAGAAATTACAAAATGTAAAATTAGCAGACAGAACTTTGGAAGGGGCTCATGTGAGAGACGGACCCAAAGTGTAATCTTCATTTGTTTTGTGGCAAATCTGCTGTGTGTAAGACTTACATACACACACATGAAGAAGAACAAATTACTCATCCTTTTCACCTGGGAGAAACCGTGTTCAAAACATGTGGACCACTGCTTTCAACTACGTGTCACTGAGAATAACTCCACAGGCCTTAGTGCTTTCAGCTCCATGATGTACGTAATATTCCCTGTAGTTGCCTTCTAGCTCTCTAAGTGAATTCATTCAACTATGTGACACCTTTCATCTTAGAAATCCCAAAGACCTTACAGGTACTTTTTTTTTTTTTTTTTTTTTGAGACAGGGCCTCCTCACTCTGTCACCCAGGCTGGAGTGCCGTGGCAGAACCACAGCTTACTGCAGCCTCAATCTCCCAAGCTCAAGGAATCCTCCCACCTTAGTTTCCCAAGTAGTGAGGACTACAGACATGTGCCACCATGCCCAGCTAATCTTTTTATTTATTTAATATTTTTTTGTAGCGATAAGGTCTTGCTATGTTTCCAGGACTGGTTTTGAACACCTGGGCTCAAGTGATCCTCCCACCTCAGCCTCCCAAAGTGCTGGTATTACACCTGTGAGCCACCAATACTAACCATATGACCTTGTAACCAGTATTAACAATATGATCATGCTATAGAGAAAACCATAGCATTATAAAGATAATTCCCTGGGAAGAGTTGAAAGGGCCCCCATCAATCTAATCTATCTTCATAATATGCATCAAAGTTGCAGCTGGCAAGTGGTGACCATTGGGAAATGACTTCTTACATAAAGTCTGAAAAAGACAAGCTGATGAATTGCATGTAATGGTCTGAACTTAATTATCTATCTCTGTAATAGGCAGCAGCTTGTTTGTCTGTTCCCACGTTCTATGGGTTCCTTAGGCCGGCACCTTTATGGTCCCTCTGGAAAGAGAAGACAGTCAACTGATGAGGAGACAATACATTTCTTGGAAAAGCAGTACAAGAGAAAACAGGAGCGGAGTAAGGAAAAGAAAAGAGGAAGGGGGTACAGAACCAGGGTTAAGAGACAACAGAATTAACTGGTGTAATGCTAATTAAAAACAAAGAGAGAGCTAACAGAGCGATGGGAGGAAGACTTGGAAGGACTGCTATTGTCCCACCACCAGCAGCCCACAAACCTGTCCTTCTAACCAGGGCACTTTGTTTCACAACAAAGATAAACTTACAGGAAAAAAGGGAAAAAAAAGTGAAAATCAAGTCTAAAAGAATATACAGCATGGAATACAAATTAAGAAATATGGAGTGCCTGCCAAACAAGATTAGGGTTTTAGTGGAACTGACTTCATTTAACAGAGAAAGACTCACTTCTGATACTTAAAACATAGGCATTATCCAATCAAATGAGACTTGGAAGGAGTCCCTATCCAGCCACCTGCTTTGCAAATTATAGAGGTCCTATGATGAACTTTGAGTCACCTTGACCTTTAGCCAAATGTGCCTCATAAGCTGAGTTTCATGTCCATTGCCAGTGTCCAAATGTCCACAGCTGAATTCTCAGGTTTGTGGTGAACAGATTTGGTAACTTCTTGTTAGGAAGCATCTGTTACTGCTCTTGCTTCTTTACTTTACTTAAAGATGACTCATTAGGTAAGGAGAAGAAAGTCACCGAGGCCTGTGTATAAGGTAATCAATTTACCACCACAAACTGATACGCTGGAAATATCACCTTTCATCTTTTCTGATTTTGCTGTTTCAAAAAGGCATATTTTTTTTTCAATTTGTTTTCTTTAAAAATTTATTCTAATCTCATGGTGTCTCACTGGGTGATGGAAATTGAATCTCTTTCATTATTGAGGTTTGCTCTCCCTCTGGTCACATAGGAATCAAAGATACTTAAGCAGTGCCCAGAAAACTGGGTGTAGGAGTCACTATTGTTTTGGCTAACCCAGCAGACGTTCTCAAATACCTTCTACTTTGCCACTTTCCTTGCAGCTAGGAGTGGACAAGTGGTCAAGTGATGATGCCGGCCAATGAGAGGTAAGCAGGTTTCGGGGCTGTCTGGAAAGGCTTTGCTTTTCCAAAGCAAATGAACGCAACATCCCAGCGCTCCCTCTTCCTCTCTTCCTCCTGACATTAACATGGACACGATGCCTGAAATTGCAGCAGCCATCTTACAATCGTGAAGAACAGGTCGGGAGAATTGCAGACTTGGTGGTCCCAACATCACTGAGCCACTGACCCGTTCCCAGAGTCGCTTTCCTCCAGAATTCTGTTGTGAGAGAAAAAGAAACATCCTCTTTGTTTAAGCCACTGTATGTTGGTTTTACAATTTTTTTTATTATTTGCAGTTAAAAACATTTCTAGCTGATTTAAAGAGTAAACAACTCTATTCTCCAGTCCATGGAGGTTGTTGCAGATATACCTATTGTTGAATGGTTCCTAGAAATCCAGTTGCAAACTGACCTTGGGCCTCTCACTGGAAATGAAAGTGACCAGGGTTGGGATCCTGGCACTTAGGGCTCCAAAGTCATGCAGCCATTCTCTCAGAGACCTTGCCTAGAGACTGGAAGTGGGTCCCTGCTTCTCTAAAACTCTATAGACTGCCCAGACTGGAGAAATTAACCCTTTTCCCATCTTGCCACTTTCAAAGGCACTCTCCTTCATTCAGATCATTTATTGCCATCTCTTCTATGAGTTGAGGTTTTTACAAATCAAATGGAGTGCCTTTCTTCAGGAAGCTCCTACTTTTTGCTCAGCTACAAATTACCTCTGAGACAAGGAGACAAAAACTGACTTATCTCCCCAAAATTGAGGAGGTTAAAACTATAGAGAGAACCAACACAAATTCATGTTTTAATGAATTACCTTGCCACACCTGCCAGTCTAGAAAAGTAACATCTGTGGCAGGAAACACTGTGGGACACTAATGATAATCGATTAACTAGGACAACTTTTGATCCCTATACCTGTACCTACTTGCATGGATAAAATCATTTGGCATGATTCAACATCTACACGGAAGGCTTTCCAATGCATGGAGCATGGGTGATATACAGATGCTGCTGCTGCTTCTTTTTCTTAATAAAAAGGGTCTTGCTCTATCACCCAGGCTGGAGTGCAGTGGCACAATCATAGCTCACCGTAGCCTCAAACTCCTGGGCTCAAGCGATTCTCTCCTATTAGGTTACCGAGTAACTAAGACTACAGGCACATGCTACCACACCCAGCTAATTGAAAAAAAAAAAAAAAAGGTTTTTTGGAGACAAGGTCTTACTATGTTGCTCAGGCTGGTCTCCAGTTCCTGGCCTCAAGTGACTCTCCAACCTTAGATCCTTTCGTGTTGGGCCTGGAAAGTGCTGGGATTACAGACATGAGCTACTGCATCTGGTCTGAATGCTTCTTCATACTTAAACTTAAGTGAGACAGCTGGAGCCCCAGAAGCATGCATTTGGATTATGGTGTGGGGATGGGAAGGAGAGTGAGAATGTCAACTATTCATCCTGGACTTGACCACATTTTTTTTTTTTTAATTTTTGATACAGTCTTGCTCTGTTGCCCAGGTTGGAGTGCAATGGTGTGACCTCAGCTTACTACAACCTCCGCCTCCTAGGTTAAAGCAGTTCTCCTGCCTCAGCCTCCCAAGTACCTGGGACTACAGGCGCAAGTCACCACACCTGGCTAATTTTTGTGTTTTTAGTAGAATTGGGTTTTACCATATTGGCCAGGGTAGTCTTGAACTCCTTACGTCAAATGATCCGCCCACCTCGGCCTCCCAAAGTGCTGGGATTACAGGTTTGAGCCACCATGCCTGGCCTTGGACTTGGCCATGTCTAAGACTTCCACTGTTTATATTATTTATATTTTAATTAATTAATTAACTTACATTTTATTATTATTATTTTTAACAGATGGAGTCTCACTATGTTGCCCAGGCTGGTCTCAGACTCCTGAGTTCAAGTAATTCTCCGGCCTCGGCTTCCCAAAGTGTTGGGATTACAGGTGTGAGCCCCAGCATCCGGGCAATATCATTCGTATTTTCACCTTTACTGTCTATACTTAAGTGAGAGCTTTCATTTGAAAGTATTTGCTTTTTATCTCTGGATTTGTTGTTGTTGTTACTGAAAGTTTTACTTATGTTTAAAATTCAATTTTCTGAAGAAGTAACCTTTACATGATTAACTGCAGGATTGGTTGTACTAGCAAATGACTGGAAACAACCTAAATATGATCAACAGAAGTCTGAATTAAACAAATTATAGCACAATCATATCATGGATTACTATAGCTGTAAAATCAAACAAGGAAGTGCTCTGGATAATCAGTGTGCAAATTCAATCTCCCATTTTGATCTCTTATCTACTAATTTCCCACACCCCTCATAGGTAATTTCTTATATATTTTCCCAGAGTTTCTTTATACACGAGTAAATAGAAATGTAGATTCTTCCTTTCTCCTTGTTTTTATATGAAAAGCAGGATACTTTACATACTGTTCTGTCCCTTATTTCACTTAATAATGTATTGGATCTCTTTCCAAGATAGAGCCTTTCATTTGTCCAAAATCTTCTTTCACATCTTATAGTAACATTTTAAAGTTTTTTTTCCTGTAGGTCTTGTACATTTCTTGTTATGTTTATTCCTAGATATTACACTGTTTTTATGGCTTTTGTAGTCTTTCCATTCTATCTTTTAATTGTTGTCATTTCATATGTCTTAATATCTGCTTATTAACTGTCTGTCCTTTTATTTTTCTCTTGATTTTTAAATATTTTTGCAAACTCTCATTAGGTTTAACAAATCCTACTCCTTTTGGTCCAGGTTTATCTTCGCACTGCAAAACTCTATGTTCTGAAGTTTTTGGTGCCCTGATTGCTGTAAGCCACAGTGTGCTCAGGGCTTCTTACAATAAGATATTCTTCCTGACAGTCAAAGAATAATTCTATCAGAGGCTGAGTGTAAGGGCACTGCTGGACTGGAGCTCAATCAAAACTACGACATAATTTCACAAAAACTGTTCCATTAATTTACTACAACACAGCTAGTGTGTATCTTTCACAGATGTTTGCTTTGTCAGTTGAAACTAGTCTGATTCCTTGGTGCTCACAGCTCACTGTACTTCACATTTTCAGGAACCCAAAGGAAAACCTTTTCGTGTATTGAGTTTGGGACCAGCTCAGCATCTATCTGTAACATTTTCCTGCACAATTATCTGAACTGCCTACTCTCATAATGACACACAATTTTAATGCAATATAATTACCAAAAATTTTTTCCATTCCTGTATTACTTGTAGGCAGTCATAATTGGCCAGAAGGGACAAATATGATCAGATCTATTACATAATTTCTACTGCACTGAAGCTGTAAGTAGGTGGCTTTTAAATGGGTCAATCTTATTTTCCAAAAATTTGGAGACAAAAGGCCATTCAATCAAAACTCAAATATTGGTGACCAACTATCATTCCCTTTCAATAAAAAGCCCTACATTTTCATAAGAGGCTCATAATAACTGCTCCCCAATTACAGCAACATTATTTTCAAAGTCAGGTTTCCATTATTTAGGGGAAAATTATAAGGTGTGTGACTCTTCCTAGGCCACATTTCTCTCTCAATGCCGATATCCCAGTTATTTCAGGTTTCATTGGCAGCTTCATCAGAGCCCATTAGGGAGAAATGAAAATCATGAGATTTGGAGAATTGGTTGAAGAATCACAGAATGTTAGAACTCATTTAATCCAATCTCATTTCACAGGTAAAGTAACCGAGGAAGAGAATGGTTAAATGACTTGCCCAACAACATGCAAGGACTTCCAAGAGACCAGGATTGCAGGCCGTCTCCTGCTTTCCAGTCAATCATTCCTTCTACCACATCATGATGCACCTTCCTAGGCATGAATGAGAAAACACGCCAATAGTTATTTCAACAAAGTTGTGATAGCTACCAATGAAACTCCATATGTACATGTAATACTTCTTCAGCATTTCCTTTTCCTATTGGGCCATCTCATTCACTCTCATAGTTGTCATTACCACTGTGTAATCAATGACTTCAATTAGTATAGCCAGCCCTGGCCTCGTCTACGTACACCATTGCCTGTACTATAGCTCTACCCACCTAATTCACTGACAATTCAAATGACATCTTGTTGAAACTGAGCTTATATTTAATATTTCCACTAAATGCATTCTTTCTGTATTTCCTATTTTGGTTTTTGGCTTGATGATCACCCAGTTGTCTACGTCCTCACATTACCCTTCACGTCCAATTTATTTTAATTTCTGTGGTTCCATTACCTAGATATTTCTCACCTATTTTCTCATCTTTTCATTTCTATTTACATGTCTTTGTTAATTCTCACCTATACTCTGTATCTTTTCTCTTCCAAATTTTTCTCCACACTACCTTCAGAGTCATTTTTCCAACGGGTAAATACTCTCTTGCTATATGCTTTTGTCTAAAATTCTTTGCTATCTTTTTCATGTCCATTAAATCACGCCCATATAGTATGATTATTTTCTTTCTTTCTTTCTTTCTTTTTTTTTTTTTTGAGACGGAGTCTCGCTCTGTCACTCAGCCTGGAGTGCAGTGGTGTTATCTCGGTTCACTGCAACCTCTACCTCCCGGGTTCAAGTGATTCTCCTACCTCACCCTACTGAGTGGCTGGGACTACAGGCGCCCGCCACTATGCCCAGCTAATTTTTGTATTTTTAGTAGAGATGGGGGTTTCACCATGTTGGTCAGGCTGGTCTTGAACTCCTGACCTTGTGATCCACCCGCCTCGGCCTCCCAACATGCTGGGATTACAGGTGTGAGCCACCGTGCCTGGCCTTTTTCTTTCTTTTTTATTTTAGACTTGGGGGTACGTGTGCAGATTTTTTATATGGGTATATTGCGTGATGCTGAGATTTGGGCATCTAATGATCCTAGTGCCCAAGTAGTGAATGTAGTAATGGATAGTTTTTCAACCCTTGTCTCTCCCCATTCCTCCCCACTTTTGGAATCCCCAGTGTTTATTTTCCCTTCTTTGTGTCCTTGTGTACCCAATGTTTAGCTCTCATTTGTAAGTGAGAATATACAGTATTTGGTTTTCTGTTCCTGAGTTAATTTGCTTAGAATTTTTGCATCCATGTTGCTGCGAAGAACATGACTGTGTTCTTTTCTATGGTATAATACTCCATGGTGTAGATACACCACATTTTCTGTATCTGATTCATTGTTCATGGGTACTTGGGTTGGTTTTATGTATTTGCTACTGTGACTAGCACTGCAA